AGAGAGAGAGAGAGAGAGAGAGAGAGAGAGAGAGAGAGAGAGAGAGAGAGAGAGAGAGAGAGAGAGGGCCGCGCGTAGGTAGGGAAAGCCACATGCAGGCAGAACCAGTCAGGCGAATGTCGATCAGAGCTGCGCGAGCTGTACTAGCGTCTAACGAGGCTGATCGGAGTTGCGCGGGCTTGCGAAGAGAAGAACGAGCCAGCTGCTTCCCGGGGAAAAGCAGCACGATGGTCCGACGAATGTTGGCGCGATGTGATTTCGGCCCAATGCTCTGAATTGACGCCCAGTGCTCAGAGAGTGAGAGTGGAGAGACTCGACCAAGCGTGGGTGAACGACGGGAGTGACTACGACCCTCTCAAGACAGCCAAATGCCACGTCCTCTAATTAGTGACACGCAAGTTTGGAGTAACGAGATTCTCACTGTCCTATCTACCACCTTACCAAACCATAAGCCAAGGGAACAGGCTTGGAAGAATCMGCSGGGGAAGAAGGCACGRTTGAGCTCGACTTTCTCTGCGTACTAYGAGGTGAAGAGTCCCRACGGTTCCAACGAACGTTGATGCAATGTGATTTCTGCTTAGTGCTCTGAGTGTCGACGTGCATGAACGGATTGACRAGATTCTCACTGTCCTATCTCCCACCTTACCAAACCATAAGCCAAGGGAACAGGCTTGGAAGAATCGGCGGGGGAAGAAGGCACGGTTGAGCTCGACTTTCTCTGCGTACTACGAGGTGAAGAGTCCCGACGGTTCCAACGAATGTTGATGCAATGTGATTTCTGCTCAGTGCTCTGAGTGTCGACGTGCATGAACGGATTGACGAGGTTCCCATTGTCCCTATCTACCATCTCGCGAAATCATAACCAAGGAAAATGGGCGTTCCAGAAGCGGAACTGCGCGCACCAGCGGGAAGATGCAAGCTTGGCCAGGTGAACCGGCCAATCGGGCTCGCTGGTGGGAGGGGCGATGGACCTGGCTGCCCGCACTCGCCGCGGGACTCATACTAGACCACACCCGACCAGACCATACCAGACTCAGACCAGACTCGATCGGACCTGACCAGTTCAGACCGGACCAGACCAGACCAGAACAGGACAGACCCAGCCAGACAAGAACAGACACAGACCAGTCCAGACCACACTGGACTTGAACAGGCCAGTTCACACCAGACTAGACAACATCACAACAGACCCGATCAGACCAGATCGGGTGGGATCAGACAGGGCCAGAATTAGGTGGGCCCAGATCAGAACAGTTCAGGCCAGTTCAAGACCAGACTAGACAGCATCACAACAGACCAGACCAGACCCGACCAGGCCGTATTCAGACCGGGCCGGACCAGATCAAACAAGATCAGACCAAAATTGGATCAGATCAGACCATACCGGAGCGGACTAGATCGGATCTGATCAGACCAGACCGGGCACAGGACAGACCAGACTGGTTCAGACTAGACCGAACTAGACCGACCAGACCAGACCGACCAGACCAGACAAGATCTAGACCCAGGACAGGTCTTAGTCGCGCACCCGAGCGAACCAAGATATCGCCTCTCCGAGAAGTGTCGAGCCTATTTGCCGTACCAAATCCGTTTCGCGACGGGGCCGAGTTCCGTTGGGACTCAGATTTTACAGACTCGTACTATGGACGAGATACAGGGCCTGTTCGCAGTGCGAACTATCATACTATTTTGAACGAAACCAAAACATTCATTTCGATCATTTCTACGAATTGTTTCGTCGTCAGCAGTTTCCTGCCTCATATTGCGGTGCTGGCGTATTTTGGTGATACTGACGAGGTTGATTTCTTGCAGGTTACAGAAGCCTTGACCAACCCTTCCGTGGGTGACAGACGAGGCGCGAGATTTAGGGTTCGGTCGGCGTGCTGGCAGACCCCTTCTACCGGTCGACAGTGGCGCCGTTGTCGGGGATGGCTGCCTCTCGGGACTTCGGTCCGCCTGTAACCGCAGAAGCGAGGAAGGCGTTAGTAATCGAGGCGCTCAACTCCATTACTGACGTCAGTATTGTTTCTCTTGGAAATATCAGGGTGCGTTGAGGCGAGAGTGCGGCGGCGACTGGCAGTCCGACCCATCTCGACACCCCGGTGAGATATTCTGAGTATTGCAATTTCTGCATTTCTGTTTTCTACATGAAATTCCTCTGGCATGCTCTTGTGATTGGAGGGAGATTGTCTTCTGATTTTCCTACCCTTTGTCAGTCCACCTGATTCAGATCTCTTTGAGTGAAAATTGTAAGCAGGGGAAGAACTGGAGGGACTGAATGGGAGGGGAGAAGTGCCCCGGATCGCAAGGAGTTGGGGGAAATAGACAGGCTAGTTGATCCGATTGCTAGCGGGGGGTCTGATTAGGACACTACACAGTGTCGAGGGAAAGCGTCCCGGGTAAATCCATGTCTGAGGTGGGTCGTGTAGAGACATGGTGCCGGATAGGATTGCACGAGGGAGATACCACCGTTCCGTGAGCGTGTGACCTCGGTCCGACCTTATGACGCACGAGTTGGCCGGCTCGCGTCAAGGGATTGCTCTCGGGATCGGTAGGCCAGCGATGATGGCGACATGGGATTAGCCTCTCTTTCGACATGAGGGTAGGAGGAGGTACGCCAGAGGGCGGTTCTCTTCGAGGCGTGTTGACGTCGTTAAGGATATAGGCGGGTCCAGTGGAGGCCTGTCGTGGGGATCTATGAGCTCATCAGTCGGGTTGGGCTACACACCGTTTGAGAGAGCAACCTTCCATCTTATTGTTGATTAGTAAGGTTAATAGAAGGTTGAAAAGGAGCGCCCGTAAGTTATGGAGAAGGTTTATCTTTCAGAGATGAGGAGTGAGCTTAATATTCCTGAGAGAAAGATGGCGGTGGAGAATTATGATGGAGGAGAAAGGTGGGATAGTGAATTTGAGAGCAGACCTCCTCATGTAAAGGCGACAATCGGAGTAGGAATCCCTGAGGGTGAGACTTGGCGAAAAGGACGATGTGAGCCACCATGTAGACCAAGTCCATATGCTATGGCGTGCGGATCGTTGTGCAGTCCTTTGTTTTACCAACCACCCTACTTCGGTCAGCCTCTATGTTTCACGGGACATCGGGTAACAGAATTCCTGAACGACTAGGAAGTTTATGCCTTGAGAGCGGGATGGACTGATCGGGAAGCGATAATGAGATTCATTAATCATACCGATCTGAAACTAGACAAAGACGTGCGTGTTGCTATACCCGAGGATTGGAAGTGGGCAACTTTCAGAGAACGATTGTCTCGAGCCTTTGCATGCGACGATATCTCCTAGTCATTCGAGGACTTGAAGGAGATGAAGAAGGAGGAAGGAGAGACGTTAGTGGCATTTGCGAGACGCTTTGAGAGGGCATCTGAACCATTCATAGAAAATTGGTTTCTCGGTGAGATAGAACGATGCGGCATATTCATAGGGACTCTGCCTATCGACAGAAGAAAGTTTGTTATGGAGAACATGCCTAATAAATGGGTGACGTTCGCTCAGACAAGGGCATTGGCTTTGCAGACTGGGGGACTGGATGCCAAAGTTCATCTACTTGGGGTGTTGGAGAAACTAGGGAAAGGAGAACCCAAAAGTCGTTTAGAAAAACAATTCGGTAATGAGGATGGAAGAGAGTTCATGCCGCCTGAAAAAGGTAAAGTAAGTAGAGATAGAGGGGAATGGAAAGGAAGAAACCGCGGCAACTGGAAGAAGGATGACGAAAGGGGATTTCTAGATAGGCGTTGGAGAAGTAGAGAAGAAGAGAAAAAGCGAAGGAGATCATATAGGGAAGGATGGGAAACGGTCGAGGAGATTGAAGCCCTAAGGGCCGAACGAGAAAGGGTGAAGAGAATGAAGAATGTCCCACCTCAGAGGAGCGCGGAATCGTTGAAGATTCCCTTACAACAAGGACCTCAGGACAAACGAGAAAAAAACTCTGGGAAAATCATCGAGCTGAATGAGTGGAGAAAGATCGAATATGCGAATGACATGAAAGATATATCATGCGGACCTTCTACGAAGATGAATAATAACGTTAAAACAAGAACAACCCATGAGGTGATTCAGGAAATTCAAGGAGAAATTTGGGTGCCGAGTATCAGGTTTGAGGAGGACCGGAATACAAGTGAGAATGAGGACTCGGAGGAAGATATACGTTGTCGAACTTCCACGGAGATGAGTATTAGCAATGTAGTGACGACAGCGGAAGAGCCAGAGCAGGGAGAGTTCTGGGTATCTAGTGTCCGGTTTGAGGAGGACCCAGACTCGAATGATAGTCTGACGGTTGGGGTTTCAAGTATTCAGTTCGAGAGTTGCCAGAAGGATTCTGATGCAGCTCCGGTGTGTGCTGAGAAAATGAGTGAGGAATCAGAAGAAAATGGAGTCGATAATACTAACCTTGATATTAAAGTCTCGCCGAGGGGCGAAGGGCCGAAGGTTATTCAGGAAACGTGGGTAGCTTGAACCACGACACAGGAAGAGTTACCAATGATTGAAGAATGCAGAGGCTTGAAAAAGACTGGCGATACTCAAAACAAGGGGGCAGAGGACTCACACACAAGCTATGAGCTTGCCCCATCGTTTAAGTGTGTAGAGCCGGATATCAGCTATGAGCTGGCTCAACTTTCTGAGACCATCAAGCCAGATGTTAGCTATGAGTTGGCTCAACTGTTTGAGACTCCCGATCTGGACCTGGGTTGTGAGCTTGCCCAGCCATTTGAGTCTGTTGACCCGGATGTCGGCTACAAGCTGGCTCATCCTTTTGGGACCGTCGAGTCGGACGTCAACTATGAGCTGGTGCAACTATTTGGGACCATCGAACATGATGACGATTATGACTTAGCTCAACTCTTTGAGGCCTCCGAACCGCGTATCGACTATGGGCTTAACCAACTGTTGGAGACCGTCGAGCCGGACGACGGCTATGAGCTTGCACAACTGTTTGAGGCCCTCGAGTCCGACGTCGACTATGATCTTGTCCAACTGTTGGAGACCATCGATAGGTCCGAAAACGATGTTGGGTATCGTTTTAAGAGTCAAAAGCTGGTAATTATGAAAGATATTGGAGATTTCATAATGGATCAATGCACGACGGTGAGTGTTGAAGGAGAATTAGACGGGAACCTTTTGGAAGGACAAGACAATGAAATTCGACTTTCATCTGACCAAGAAGGCGGAGGAAAGACCATCGTGGAAGTTAAGTTCATTGAGGATGCTGACCATCTTAAAAGCACGTCGAGAGAATTTAAGGAACTGTCAAAACTCAGGGAAGGGTTTCAAGTGAAGAAATTCGTTATTGATGATAATGATTCGATCAAGACTGGAAATTGGGTCGCAGGATTTAAGCTTGGGATAAGGGTGCGAGGCTGGAATGAAGACTTGCGCCTCCTTTTTCTCTTACTGATCATCCTTGTGTCAACTTATGCTCGTACTTTCCGTTGTTGGTGCTACGGCTGCAGCTTTAATGTCGGCATCTTACTTGGCGTGGCTGATCGTCTCATTACGTTTGATCTTTATGGTGGCGCGAGCTCCTTGTGGGTCCGTACAAGCCTGTCATGCGATCTGTCATGCGATGTCTTTCCTATACTCTTTCAAGCCTTACTGGTTGGGTGGAGAATGGGTGCAAGGAGGAGAAGGACGTTCGTAAACGGGGGAGGTAAAACTCGAAAGTTCGGAGGCCCGATGTTCGAAGAAGGAGGTACTTCAGCATTTATCAAACTGATCCTGCCGACTAAGCGTATGAGCAAAAGAAAATTTTACTTCCACAAGTGGCGAGACAAAACCAAAGTCCGCTCGAATCTGGCAACGCGGGAGTGGTTGAAAGGACAACCTAGGGATAAAATGCAGAAAGCTAAAAGAAACGATGGTGGAAAGAGAGGTAGGAAGAGCGAAAGGAAGAAAGAAAATTATGAGAGGGATATGTCTCTTGGGGTTGATCGGTTACAGATTAGGTGTCGTCCGACCACCTTCCTTCTTCTGCATAATCGGACGATCTTAGGTTCGATGGCTCGACGGGGACGTCGAGAATGGGGGGGGCCTGTCGGGCGGCTCCAACCCTACGCCGCCTTTACTTCCCTTATAAGGGCGCACGACAAAGACTCTATTTAATTATTTCTACTTGACAGGAACTCAGCGGGCTACGGGAAAACGCGGGGACGGATCGACGCCTCAAGTGGGCAGGCTATGACACTCAGTCTGGGTGGGGCTCGAGCATTGAAGGGCGATACTTTCATGAAGTGGGCGTGAACGTAAGCCGCCGATGGGCATAAAGAGGCTACCGCAGCTGAGGGGGTTGCCGAGGGTTCGGGACGAAAGACACGACCACTAAAGGTCGGCGAAAAGCCGGAGAAAAAGGGGGTGTCGGGGACTTGACGCAAGGCTTCGGGCATCGCGAGCAGTGGCGGCCTCCGAAGTTACCACAGGCGACCGAATCCCGGGAACACCCTGCGTAGATGATGGTGGGGACCGTCCTTTTGGGCGGACCCTGGTGTTAATGAAGAGAGGCTCACGGCCTAAGGCCCGGGAATGGGACCGATGACTTAGAATTTCGAAGGGCGCCCTGCGGGATTTTACCAAGGGTCCGGTACCACCTGTGGGTGGGGACCATCTAGGCTCAAATAGGCCCGAGGCAGGTTCGGGGAGAGCGTCGGTACCAGGGCGCTGCAAAAGGCCCGGTTCCCGACAAAAAGGCCCGCCTCACCGAAAACCCTTAGGGGGCCCAAACAGGCTCGGGCACAGGTCCGGTACCGGGGCGCTGCAACTTGGCGGCAGCCCCGGAACACACGAAGACGGGGACACACTTCGGAAAAGGGGCCCGACAAAGTATATAAGTGGAACCTGGCCCATGACTGGGGGGACTCTCGGCTGCGCACAGGAAGGACACACGGGCTAGCACACGAGAGTGTGCTGGTCCCTCGCGCAATGGTTCCCGGACGGGGAAACATTTGGGACGCACGAGCGAAGAGGTACAGTCGTGCACCTGCACGAGGGCTACACCTGGGAAAGGGCTGATCAGCACAGCACGAGAGGGCGCCGGAGGGGCGAGCTCGGGCGCACAGAGAGCTTGAGGGTGTCTGCGTGAACCTGGCCCTCACTGTGGACCAGATTCGTGTGCACTGCAGGAAGGTGCGCGCGCTAACATGAGAGTGGGAATGGCGAGAGAGAGGAAGGAAAGAGGAGCCGCGCGGAGGAAACGAACGGAGTGCGAGGCTGGGCATGTGCAGGTCGCGCTAGCGGAACCAGGAGAGAGAGCGGGAACCCAGCGGAAGCGGGCGATCACCAGCAAGGGCGAGCAGAGCTGTGGGTGACCACCGTTACGAACGGGCGAAGCCGTCGGGCGGAGGCCACCACCGGAGCATGCGCACAAGGATTGAGCTGCGCGCGGGAAATAGGCCGCGCACGAGAAACGAGTCGTGCGCGCGCACACTAGAGAGAGAGAGGGAAAGTTGCGCAAAGCAGCGGAGTTCCGCGAAGGGAGGAGGAGCTGCAGCGCAGAGGGGGAAGGAGAGAGAGAAAGAGAGAGTAGGAGGAGAAAGAGAGAGAAAGAAAGGAGTGTGAGAGAAAGGGGGGATAGGAGAGTGCACGGACCGACCGTTTTACAGCGCACATTCGCACCAGCAGAAGGTGCATGAATCTAGCCTTCCTAGCGGTCCAGATTCGTGCGCTTTACTAAAGTCCATGCAATACCAGAATGTGAGCGCCGAAGAGAGAGAGAGAGAGAGAGAGAGAGAGAGAGAGAGAGAGAGAGAGAGAGAGAGAGAGAGAGAGAGAGAGAGAGAGAGAGAGAGAGAGAG